GTATCTCTCTTCTTCTCTCTCTCTCTCTCTATTTTTTTGTTTTTTGTTTGCTTATCCCTCCTCTCTCTCTCTCTTTGTGTGGCGCTGGTTTCCGGTTTTACGACGCACGGACACGCATACACAAATACCGTCGTACATCCCGCATTAAGCTGAGTGGGACAGACGTGCTCTCACAATGAGCGCACAGGAACCCCTCAAGGAAATCCCGGGTAAGTGTCCAACGCCAGGCAACCTCGGCCACGCAGGATGGGATGTTCTGCACACCGCCGCCGCCGTGTACCCGTACAGGCCCTCTCCTCTCCAGCAGGAGGCGTTTGCCGCCTTCTTGCATAGTTGGTCACACGTGTACGCTTGCAGTCACTGCGGTTATCACATGCGGCGCTACTTGAAGCGCAACCCACCGGTGGTCACAGATAAGTTGGCCCTCAATCGGTACCTTTGTGAGTTCCACAACACCGTCAACAAAAGTGTGAAGAAGCCGATGTACGACTGCGACCCCATGACGGTCCTCCGACGCTGGCACCCGACGTTTCCTAACATGGAGGATCAGCCGACGATAGAGGAGCAGATTGCGGAGCAGCAGCGACTGGAACAGGCAGAGGCGCAGAAACAGCAGGAGGAGGAGTTGCAACAGAGGCAGACTCGCACCTCGGCTCTTGCGGATGCTGCAACATCACAGGAGCGTCTGGTGGGTCGCTGGCGCTCTGAGAACTGGAAAAGTGGCAACGCCGCAAGTGACAGCCACCAAAACACGGCGGGAGCTTTTGCAGCGGGGTGGGGTGCTTCGTCGCGTCGAGAGGAAAAGGTGCAGGAGGCTGTGCCGGCCCCATTGACGGAGAGCCGAAGAAGAAAGTGGTGGCCCTTTGGAAATAACGGTGGTGGTGGGGGTGGGCGAGTCGGCAATGAAAGCCCCTCCTTCACACACCCGGCGCCCAGCAGCGTGGCAAGCGGCAGCATTGGCAGCCCTAGTGGTGGAAGTGGCGGCAACGTGGACGACGATGAGGCCAATGTGATGGCTGTCTTGAGGCGACTAAAAGCCTGTATGGTGTACTGCCCGGACAAGGACAAGGACAAGGGCGAGTAATCTCCACCAGTATAGATCTTTTCCTTCTCTGTAGCTTGCCCCATCGCCGCCCCTGCTTCCGCGACGTACAACTACGAATACATGGAATACGTTTGTTTACACCGTATCAGCAGATGGAGGAAAAAAACGCACATCCAATGTATAGCGCTATCATTTCTGTTAGCTGAAGACGCGGAGCGAGAGGGTAACGGCAGGGCAACGGCCTTTGCAGTTGTAGCTTTATGCCTCTCTGCGATTATGGGTGTCTTTTTGCATTTTTGGGGGCATACATTTGACATGCACCCCTCCCCGGGAAGGGGCGTTCATTAGGACCGAAGTGGGTGGGGAGGGGAGGTGTGTAACGTCAGCCGACATTGTTCGCTTGCGTGGTGTTGGTGGCAAATTTGGTGTGGGAGAAGGTACGGGTGGGCTTGAGCAAGAGTCGAGGAAGAGGCTGTTAAGAATTATAAGGGGTACGCAATTATTTAACGGCATACACGCTTGTAGTTGGTGTGTGCGTAGAGGAGAGGTATCGTATTATTATTACTCGTATTATTACGACTATTCTCGCGCCCACTTGGAGTTGCATTGAGAATGAGAGAGGGAAGAAGGTGACGTCTTTATAAATATATATATTATTTCTTTATTTCTTTGGCGTCAAAGACTGAGGATAGTCACAGGGAGGGGGGCAGGAGAGTGATCGTCGTTTGGTGGGCAACCCCATCGAGAGAACCAAAAGACGACAGTTCTCATGGAAGGACCGGGACTGAAGGTGGGGGAGGGAAGGGAGAGAGCGCATTGATGGGCGTGTCAGTTGCCTTGTAATTAACCGCCATTGAAATGCTGACAGTTTGGCTGCTGTCGATTGCCTTTTTTCTGCCTGTTATTTCCGGATGTGTGGCGTTGCTCCACCTCGCGGTGGGGGTGTCGTGTCCTCCTCCCCGTTTTATATGTGCTGC